GAAAGCGACGCAGGTTCTGGTTCAGGCTTTCGTCATCTCAGGCCTAGACTACTGAAACCTCCCCCCTGGCCTGGTCTACCTGCATGTGCCCATCCGACCTATGCAGCTCATCCAGAATGCAGCGGCTCACCTGGTCTTCAACCTTCCAACATTTTCCCACACCACTCCGCTCCCTTCACTGGCTTCCGGTAACTGCTAGAATCCACTTCAAGACACTGGTACTTGCGTACCATGCTGCAAATGGATCTGGCCCTTCCTACATCCAGGACATGGTTAAACCATACACCCCAGCACGTGCACTCCGCTCTGCATCAGCCAAAAAGCTTGCTGCACTCGCACTGCGAGGGGGACCCAAGTTCAAATCAGCAAAAACACGTGGGTTTGCTATCCTGGCTCCAAAATGGTGGAATGAGCTCCCCATTGAAATCAGGACAGCAGATAGCTTACACATCTTCCGGCGCAGACTGAAAACTCATCTCTTTCAACTCCACTTCGAGCAATAGAATTACTAACAAAGCACTTACATACTAACAAAGGGCTGGCTTATCTAAAGCCAGTTGAGTAGCACTTGAAATGTTTGGCTATATGAAACCTGATGTACTTATATGATTCTGTTTTCTTCAAGGTTGTATCTTCCTGGTCAAATGTACTTATTGTAAGTCGCTTTGGATAAAAGCGTCAGCTAAATGCAATGTAATGTAAATGTAATGTTTGGCATTTAAAGCCAGTTGCACATAAAAAAACATACTTTTGTTACATCTTTACAGAAAATGAATCTCCAGCATTAAAGAAAGACTATTAAGCATGAAATATTGCTCCAATGGTCAATGACAAACTATTTTCATTGCTTTTTAAGGTAGCAAAACATTAATATCCATGGAGTGGAAACTACAGTTAAAACTAAATGAAGATCGTAAAAAATAATTCCCCGCCCAGAAACATGTTTTTAGAAATATTTAATTATTTATAGCAAGTTCAATCCTGTCCCAAGTAAGTATTGAGACGTTAAATAATGATTACAAAAGTTGGAAGAAAGTTAAAAAATGTTTTCTTTCATAAATAATGTTTAACATTTTCTCTGGCAAAAGTACGCAGTAAAAACATGTCTAGCTAATGGAGTTTTACATATTTTTTCCTTCAATGTACAAAGAGCACAAAAAGAATTCACTGAGGACAACATACCGTATGTAAACAGACATGCGTTCAGTTATTGCAGAACAATACCACCAAAACAGTACAGAGTAAAAAGCAGCTTAGTTTAACCACACTAAACGAACAATGAACACGAGTCATCTTACTCTGCCTCAATATAAATGTTGACAACTTAAAAAAACTCTTAAACATTACATATAACCACTTACCTACCATAAACATGCTACAACTCCTTTTACATATAAATCTTTCACATTTTCACCTTACATTGACATTTTATTTTGTCTTTCCTCAATGAAGAACAGATTTTGTTAGCCAAGAAGACAAAACATTTGTGCAGCAGGAGGAATATTTCACCAATATTACACATTTAATATTTCTAGTGGAAACCCTTGTGCGTAAAGAAATGAAGACATAAACAAGTAATCTCTTTCAGTTTAAGCCCTTTGTATTTCGGTAAATGACATAAGAGTCTCGTGTAAACGGACGCTTCGCTTGAAGATAAACATGGAGGGTTTAGAACTGGAAGAGTTCGATAAAGTGCTGCGGAGAAATGGGCATGAGGCAGCTGTCCGGATCGATGGCTGTGCACGGATGGCCACAGTCCTATAAGACAGACAACAACATGTTAGAGAGAAGAGAGACAGAACCAGCAGAAACAGCAACCAGCACATACTAAGAACATGGAAGGACTTCTACACATATTTAGTGATGGATTTACTCATTTACTGGTGTGGTCTAATCCTGGACATTTGTATGCATGCACATAGATAAATATCTGTGTTAAACTAAATGACGACTGACAGTTTACTTTCAGACACGCTAACTCAACATTCAGATGAATTTATGAACTTCAAGAATGTGGTTACAGGCCATTTAAAAGTCAGCGGAAAGAGCGGCACTGTTTGCTAAACACAACTCGAGCAAAACGGGATGACACACAGAAAAAAGATAAGTTATCATCAGATCGGAGACAAACCAGCAGCTGACAGCACAGAAAGGCGTGATGGGAAGAAAAGTACCTTTAATAACAAAGTCAGGTGGCGATCCTTTAAGAGTCAGGGAGAAGGGGAGCCAGGAAGGAAGGAGACAAGCAAGGAGAGGGAAGAGGTTAAACAGTACAGGGACCCAGCCAGGGAGGAAAACAAGACTGTGTGTGGTAGATAATCACAAATAGGTGGGGGGGAGATATATAAGGAAATGCTGCATTTTGAATCCAGGTACCATTAGTCTGGGGAGATGCCAATCTTCCCCGATTAATACCTCAAACTCTGTCTTACACGTGGTTAAACGTCTTATCAAATGTGTCAGTGAGGGCAAACAGTGAGTGTTTTTTAAATGTATTTGTTACCACTGACAGCTAAGTGCAGTATGCATTAGCACATGAGATTTTAATTACATTTATGGGCAACAAGGATAACCATCATCATCACCATTATCTTTTATGTTAAATAACTACTTAACATGTAAATGTATGCATGTTTATGCATGAGTGTATAAATGTATAATATACATGCTTTGTATATTTTGTATTATATATTTATTGTATTGTAGCATTAAATAGCAATAATGTTGTGTAATGCAGTCTTGAAGCCCAAGACACATTTTCCCACGTGACACTCAACTTTATCTTATCTTATCAGTGATAATGCATTCACTTATATATGTGAATCATTAATCCCTGTTGAATATCGAGAATATTGTTTTGAAATGGGATGATTTTTTTGTCCACTTGTGACTTTTCAATAGAGTCGGATTTTAAAGGTGAGCTAATGGCTGCCTGGGAAAACATTTTTTAGACTGGTCTGATCTCTAACTACTCAAAGTAAAAAGGCAACATCATTTTTTTTTCTTTTTACAGGAAGTTACATTTGAACTGTAATATGGATAAATGTGCAAAAAAATTGTGTTTCAATTACTATTGGAACACCTTTCTCACAGCATGCTAAAGACACGTATCAGCGTGAGGGAGACTGCGTGATTGCAACAAATGTCTCTTTGGCCAAGGAAATACAATGAGCTCTGGTATAAACGTGATACTTGATTTGATCCACATGTGTGATCCATGTATAATTTAAGAGGTGTCAGGTCTGTGATAAATGTCTCGGTTTTGCCTTCATCTACTGTTCAAACACTGAAAGGCCAAAAGCTAAACTAATCAGTTGAACTTGGATTGACCTTATTGCTACCTAGTTTTAAAGCTTCCCTCCTACGTATGTAAAGCTTGTAATTTATTTAAAGAGTTTTAGCTATGGTGTTTCCTATATGCCGCCTATTTGGTTTTAAGTGTGTGTTATCTTCTGGTTTACCTGCCAGAAGAGGATGCTACAGTGTTTGCAGAAGTGCAGGGTGTCGCCGTACTGCTCCCTCATTGGATAATGTTTCCTCAAGGTGAAATACATCAGCTTCCAGTCCACATGATCACTTTTGGATAGGACCAAATTCTTACAGAACTGCATGTGAGTGGAAGGAAACACACAAACAAATTAAAACACAATAGACAGTGATGTTATTATAAACGGGAAAAGTGAAATCACATATTATTTAGGACAATTTCTCAACCAGACCAACCCTGAGTATGTGTTATATGATGTGTGTTTTTGTGTGTGCGTTTATGAGGGAATGAGAGTGAGAGAGATCAATGTGAGAAAACTGTGGCTATTCTGCCCTCTAGTGGTCAAAGGGTGAACTATTTGGCAGCCATATCTTTGGATGCTTGACCATAAATTATTATTGTAAGTTTAAAGCCTATCCCCTTTAAAATATTTTTTTTTAATCCCGCATTTAGCCTTCATTTCTCCTTGTGCATTGCTGATTAAACTAAATATGTTTTTCTCTCACCTGTTTGTCTGAGAAGTGGAAGTGGCAGAGTTTCTTCCACAGGATGCTGCTCTCACTGAGGCTCTGCAGAGTAGGCGTGGCCTGTCCCAGGTTAATGATGTCACAGGCATCAGATAACTTGCAGAGGATGTCGTTTTGTGTGTGTAGCGGCAATTCGTTGAATGACACGCCATTGCAAATTTGCTGGGGAAACAAATAACAATGACACATTCAAATTCAAAGCTGGATTGTACAGCAATCCAATAGAATGATGCCATTCATACAAAGTTGAGCATGAAGTCTTCTAGTCAAAGATTATTGTCAACACTTCCCCTTCCATATTTAATGTTTCTCACTTATTAATTACGTGGAAACAGGATATAAAGGATGTAAACCTACTTCACTAAGAGGCGTGTTGAGGTGTTTAGATTTCCTACACACAATGAAATTCACACATGCATACCTGCAGGTCCACACACACACAAACACCAGTGACCTTCTACCTTAGGGATGTGCAGGTTGTTGAGCTGCTGCTTCCATTCGTGAATGGTCTTTAGTCTGCACAACCAGATGTTGACGTTTCCCACGAGGACACACCTGCCGACATGAATGGCCAGACTGTGCAGTGTCGAGCTCAGGTCCTGCAGCAAATCCTTCACAAGGCGCGGGTTGTAGTGGTCGTCTAGAACTAGTAGAAACACACAGAACAAATCCTTCAGAAAATCGACACAAAATACCTTATTTTTGTATCCTAAGATTAAAAATACCTTAAAACAAACATGTCTTTTAACAGAACCACAGTTTTCAATTAACACTGCTGTATTTTAGACTCCCATATGCATTTCACACGCTGTTTCAATTGGTTTTGGGGTTAGGCATTCAGTGCAATAATAATAAGGTCAATAAACAGAAGTCGTTACTTTTACAACCGCAACAAGAGTTTAAATTAGAGGCTAGTGGGCAACAACAATTCCTGAAATCTCCTTACCCTTTCGTACAATCTTCTCCAGTATATTAAAATAGTTTTTCTGAGCAGCTCCACTCAAATTGCGCAGCTGAGACCTGGCTATAAGCTGGAAAAGCTATAGGAGAAAAACAGAGTAAGACATTTAGTGAAGGAGTCGTTTGTTTATGTCACACCAGAACAAACAACGGAACAACAATCTCAAGAGGATTCTTAAATCAACACGTGTCTTCATTACTCACTTTTGCAACATAGTTGAATCTACTTAAGTCCTGAATGGCACTGGAAAAGTCTAGACGGTTGAGGGCTTCACCAAGCGTGCAGTATCCATGTCGCTGTGTGTTGAACATTAAAAACACAAATGTTTCTTTTTGATTAAATATTAGTTTATTTGAAAATAATACGGCTTCATGGGAATCGTTCTGGTAACAGCTGCAGCATTCACCTCTTTCGTGCTGCCTTTCTGCACATATATCCATTTATCTGTGAAAACAACTGGACAACGGGAAATGACAAACACATTATTGATCCTTTCAAACAGCATTTTTTGTTTTGGTGTAAATGTACATACTTTTATTTTATAACTCCCTTTGAAATTGAATGCAATCCAATCCAATAGATTCGCAGCATAAACACCAATATAGCTAATCTTACATTCTGTCATCTTATTGACTCAAAACCTTTAAAAAAACAAACAATGGACATCATAACCTCCCCACATGTGGTATATAATTACAACAGATTTGACAGATTCTGATTCTGTGGGATATATAAGCTATTCTGATAGTTGTTATTATAGATGTTACTGTTAATGTTGTTAGGATACTATTGTGTAAATCTTCTGTTTGTGCTTTGGGCGTAAAAAATGCAGAACATTTTTATATATATAAGGATCTTAGGACATTTTAACGCTATTAAAACGTATTCAAACTTCTACAGTTCTTTATGATTAAAATGACACAGGGCTGCAATGTTAAACCTTTTAGCTGACCAGCCATTTAAACCACAATAAACATAGACATGTCAAAAACTGGGGGAGGAGAGTGCAAACAGTGAAAAGGACAAAGCAAACAACCTGAAATTATATTTGACCAGACTGACTTGTTTGAAGCTGAGCTGAACAGAGTGAACTCAGGCTGTATTTGCAGCCCTAAGCTAAAGTGGACAGCTGTTAACCTGCATACCAGGCAAATACCGGTTTAAATTGCTCTGTCACCTAAAGGCAGCACTTCACAGAGCTTCTGCACACCTGTACACTCTCAGTAATAAGACTAAGGCTGGAGCCACACGAGAACTGTAACAGTCGTATCCGCTACAGTTCTCTATCATATAGACGGTTCGGCCACACGAGGCCGACAGGGAAACGCAGATAGCGATAACGGGTCCCAAGGTGGGTAGATCTGCGGACGAAACGCTCTGGGGGGCCAAACGGCTCCGTGTCTACTCCCTATACGATCATTTTCTGATAACGATGACGCAATAGCCCCGCCTCTCCTGCGTCATTGTGTTTCGAGCCAGGTCCCGGTATCTCACAGGACAGTGCACCAAGCAGGTGCCTCCAGCAGACCCCGGCACGGCAGAGTTTCCGTTAGCCGAAATCTAAAATTCTCCAGTCAAAACTTCGCTTATTGTTTAGGTGTCCTTTGACACTCAGGCAGTCATATCATTAGCTAGAACTAGCTAGATATGGACATAAACGTGAGTGAAGTCTAATCGGACAGGAGAGAGGGATCAGAGATCAGCTGCTGCTGACGGAGAAAAAGAGCCCTGCCTCTCCCCACCTCTGCTGCTAAATCCATTGCGGAGAATTAACAGAAGGGCAACCATGGAAACCATGCTCGGAAGTCTTCTTCGCTGCTTTTGGTGTATTTTGTGGCGGAAGTACAGCGCAACTTACAGGCCCGGCATATGTCCAGCGGGTCGAGCGGTCTCCTGTGAACGGACACACGTCTCTGGTGCCTATTGCGTGTGGACGGAAGACTTTTTTGATAACGATTTTGGTTCGTTTGCGTTACCGTTCTCATGTGGCTCCAGTCTAAGAATCAACTTTAGGGGAAACAAAGGCAATAATATGCGCTTTCACACCAAGTACTTTTGCCGTAGGCTACTTAGTTCATCAGAACTCTTTAGCGCCTTTAGCTCCGGATTTTTTTGGTATGAACCAACTAAATTTTTCGGAACTATACTGGGAAAAGTACTCCGGTGTGAAAGCGCCTAATGTCACTTTTTGTTGTCTTTGTAACTTTCTACCTCATTGCAAGTTAAAAAACCTGTTTAAGCAGAAGTCAGGGAGTTCTTCAGGTCAGATGTCGTTTAAAGGTGGGGTAGGTAAGTTTCAGAAACCGGCTCGAGTGCACTAAAATTTGAAAGTACACAATTTGAACGAATCCGCCCCTTCCTTCAGACTTCCTTACAGAGCACCTCCTCCGCGAGAGCAGGCTGCAGTAACGTTACATATCAGGCAAAGCTAAACACATCTAGGTTAGCAATACTACACAGCCAAAGCAACTCCGATATTGACTCTGGTTTGACTTCTCCTAGTTTCCGCTTTCTTTATGTTCTTAATTTGCTCCGTTACATTTTTTCTTTTGCGACCAGTAGACGATGTTGAACCTAACTCTGCCATGGTGAAAGTGGCCGCCTGTTGCTGGCGAGTCATTGAAGTACTGCTGCAATGCACGCCCAATGACGGCACGCCCAATGAGGGCACGAGATACATTTGTGCGTGCACGAGATGGAAGGCTGACAGACAGGGCGGCAATCCAATCCGTTTTGGCTTCTTCTAATCAAACATAAGTTTTAGTTACATCAAANGTGTGCCTTGGCAGTCTCAGCTATCGGGATGTTAAGAGCATTCCATGGAATATAACAAAAAGTGTATCTCGAGCCGGTTTCTCAAACTTACCTACCCCACCTTTAAGTGTTTCCCACCAAAAAGCAATGTTTCAGTCCTAATGATCTTACAGAAGGGTTTATTGACAATTATGACTACAATGCCTCATATTTTATGGGACCATCATATCCTTTGTATGTAAAGATCTTAACCTGCAAAGCATAATAATTTAATTAAATATGTTAAAAATAGGGTAGTATAAGTGAAATAACACAAACTAGAAGTCCTCCAGTAGAGTACAAGCACCTTTAAATTGTGAAATTATAGCTTGCGCTTCCCTGATTGTTTTATATTATTTTTAAAAACACATGAAGCCAAAAGAGTGATTCTGTGTTGCTGAAACTCACACTGAGATTTGGTGTTATTGTTGTAGAGGTCCTTTTTCCTCTTTGTGCTGGCGAGCTCACACACTTCCCCAACAAACACATTCTCTTTGTTGTCACTGCAGAGCCTGTTGGACACAGAAGGCGTGGGAAGAATTTGCATTAGAGTGTGACCAGTGCAACTGTAATACAATGTAAAAAACCAACGAGAACAATAAGATAAGCCTGGAGCAAGTGACTCTTTCTTGATGTCCTGAATGTCACTGCCATGGCATTATACTGTATGTATAACGTACGCAGTTCAAGAGCTGCAGTATTTTGTGGTGAAAAGGGCCAGGACATATACAAGTTTGAAATAATAATTTATCTCTTTTTTATATTACAATACAAGTGACCAGCAAGGAAATAAACATTTGAAACATGAAAAAACCCAAGATTAAGGAGTACGTGTTGTTATGATTACAAAAATGATGACTCACAAACTGGGCGATTTCAATACACGTGCTTTTGGATTTAAAAACTAATTAATTTTTCCCTCCAACATAACAGAAGGCAAGGCTTTGCTTGTCCGACTGTGAACGTAACAGATCGGGGTGAATGGGCTCCACAGTAATCCTTTCGTCTCTATCCATTTATCCAATTGCACATGCCAACACACAAACACACATGCAAGCACAGCAATGCCACAGTGCATTACAAGTGAGGAATGTAATAATAGCCTGACTTTTTAACACAGGTAGCACGCAGAGCATCGGCCTGCTCAGAGCCAATAAAAGACATTACACAGCAGCAGGAATGTTCAGAGGGATTTGTGGATATTTAAATCCTGAAATACAGAGCTAAAAAGGCTGAGGGCTATGTAGGAAGTCAACAGGGAAGAAAACAAATATGCGGCTGAAATTAAGCTTAATACTTCCCTTACTCACTTTAAGATGAGTAAGGGAGGCTGTGGCTCAGTGGATAGTGCACTGAACTTTGAATCAGGGGGTTGTAAATTCGATTCCCACTGCAGTCAGCATGTCGTTGTGTCCCTGGGCAAGACACCTCACCCCAAATTGCTCCTGTGGGGATTGCCCACAGTACTGAATGTATGTAAGCCGCTTTGGATAAAAGCGTCTAACAAGTGAAATGTAATGTAAAACATAGAGGCATTTATTTCCTGCAAGATGACTAAACAATCAAGGCATTTCCTACCTTGTCAGATAAAATAATCTGTCACAGAGATTGATAGAAAAGTAAGAGCCAAATACTAGCCTACACATTTTCTTGAGTGTTAAAGATGAGAGATAAGAATTGTTTTTATAAATTAAACGTATTAATTCTTCAATTAAATGATTGTACCTGATCAGACACATAGGAACATAAGAATGACATATAAGAGTACAAATATTAAGTGAATAAGAAGTAATACTAACACCAGTGCCTTAAAGAATAAAGATAAAAGAAAGATACACAGTGAGATAATTGAAGTAAAATAGAAAAGTAGTATTGCGTATGGTATTGAAAGTAGTATTGATAATGATATTCAAAAACTAATAACGTGTAATTTTGATAATGACGCTAGGTGATAGAGTTTTGTTGACATGAAGAGATACATTATGATGAATTACTTCTGGTACACTGCGTACCATGCCAGTGGCCATCATATTGCCTTTCTTTCTTATGTGTGTCTGCACCTCTGCTGCATGATGTCACTGGCCTTTTGAGCGAGGCTGCATTTGGAGAGCGGCCAATGTGGACGGATGATGTCATTATCTATTGTCTGATGGTGTGTCTGTTTAGTGAAAAGACTGCTGACAAGCTAAAGTGGCACTGTGAGGTACTGTAAATGATTGATCCATAGAAGAGGCAGCACTGACTTGAGGGAGATATCACCCACTGTTAACCCCCTCAGCACCAGCAGGGCCGCAACATCCTGCTCGCTGTTTACTTGCTTTTGTACTGGATAGATTATATTGCTAAACCTGCTAAACACTGCAAATTCAACACACACACACACACACACACACACACACACACACACACACACACACACACACACACACACACACCTGCCTAAACAACAAACTTGTGACTTAAACTTATTTTTTGTGATTTTTATTTGATTGTTAGTTCTTTTACTTCTTTAACTTGTACAATTTTACTTGTTAGAACTTCAAAATACATGTATTTTCGTAGTATTCCAAAAATACTAGATTGTCTTCAAGAATTTAAGGCAACACAGGTGAATAATTGATATACAAATAATCCTTTTCAAAGTGGAGTATTCCTTTAAGTAAATTAAGAAGGCAAACATTACAGTAGGTTCGACTGTGTTTCCAGATACTTTCCCGCAACCACAATTTCACGTTATATATTGTTTTTAAATATTATCTCCCAATATAAAGTCAATCATGAAGCCAAAACATTAACAATTACCACCAATAATGACATTTGCAGGTTTAGTCAGTGTCACTGTATAACAACAGGTTATATATATAATATAAAGGTTGGACAAGTTGATTCATATGTGTGCTAATTGACTTCAAGAATGTGTGTGTTCTGCTTTGAGGGGATAGTTCGATAAGAAAGTGAAATTCTTTGAGGGCACAATGATATTTAACATAAATAGTAAATGCTTTCTTTGATTATATCTGATTACATGCTGTGCTCTGAATACCGCTAAGTTCTTTTTACAGTACAGTTGTCCTTAGTGTCATTCAATAAAGCTAAATGTGAGGCTCTGCGACATATTACTATAAAGCAGAGGGCTGGATGATTTGGTTAAAATCAATTTTTTTTTAAAACGACTCAAGAAGTAACCCGCACCATGGGTTATGATAAGGTTCTCATCAGTGGAAGTAAACTTGAAAGTCAGGAAAAGTGTTGCACTCTCTGGCTCCTTATGCATATTTTGTGTCATCAGAATTAAATCATTGTAAACGTTTTACCTACTTTCATGGTTAATATCATATTACATATTAAATTCTGTTATCAAATTGGTATCCAAAGAACTGTGTTCTACTGCTAATAAAATCAGACAAAACTCACTAATTTAATAGTTTTCAATTACATTTTACTCAGACTCATTACTTTGAAGGGCAGCACATTTGACTCATTATGGTTTTATCATCAAGATATGATACCTCTAAAAGTAAACAATCCATGTCCATGTGTATATCCATGTCTTCCAGACTTAGGATATACAATGGTCTAAGCAGTGCATTGAAAACATCAGGGTGCTGAGGACTTTAGAGAAAAAAATAGTTTTATACTTAAATTAAGTTGCATTTGTTTACTGAGGATCTAATTAATCTTCAAATCATATATGCGGTCAGTAAAATGTTTATGTAACCTGATAGAGCACTGACTGACTCCATCACCATTGAGGTATGACAATGTCATTAAGGCCAGATAGATGACTAAGGTGAGCGAGTAATGATACCAACACAAATAAATGTGAATATAAAATGAACCTTACGCTTTCAAGTCTATTTCTTTGTTGTTATCTTCCAACTCATGTCCATAGAAGATAATCCTTTTCCAGCCATCATCTGTCTTTTTCCAGCTCCATCCAGGTGACCTCCAGTCCTTGCCCAGGAAAGGCATTTTAGCCGGGGGGAAGTGAGCAGAGATGGTCGCTGCAACTTCAAACACAGAAGAAGAGGCAGAATGTATCTTAATGCTCTAGGTCTATGCTAGCAAAGAGCAAAGAAAAAATAAATGTAGTACCTCATTGAGAAATATTGTCACTGCATAACATATATTTGGTTATTTTCTGATTTCAATGGGTTCAATTATTCATTTTCCCTAATTATATTTATGTTGCACACATTCAATTCCCATATTTAAATGATATGCAAAATGTGTTTTTTGTTCAAATTTAGCTAAATGTTCTGTGTGAAGAAAGCTCTATGGACACAATCCCTGGGAAGAGAAGAAAAGAAAAGAGCCCCTTGGAACCATGGCTGAATAAAGAATCTTATTATTAAAGCCTGTCATTCGTGCAAAAATAATCACTCTGCAGTCTACCACTACCCGTTATGGTTTATATGAAGCTTGACAACAACTACCAACATGAGTGCCGGCATTGAATTTATAAACGCTACAGTCTAGTATGTCATCACGATAATAAGGGTAAACAATGGTATGCAAAATGGCATAATAAGCCAAATTGCTTAAAAAACACACCTGACAACGAAAAACACGCATTTCATTTGAGTATTTAAAAAATAACAGCATTAGCAAACGCTGCCCAAGTCGTTTATCGCAAAAATGATGAGAAGACAGTCAGTTCAACGCGTATATTTACGAGAGGAAGAACATCAATAATCTCAACTACAATATAACAGAGCTGAACATTTGTGCAAAAAGGCAAAACAAACCTTTAGCGACTGCTTTATTTGTTGTCTCTTCAGCTTCTGCTTCTTGTCCTCTGACTGCCGTGTTGGAAATATTGAAGGAAGTAAACACAGTGCGCACTCTGGAATTCGTCCACGCCCCCCTAGTGCTCTCTGATTGGACAAATTCCGGTATTTATCTTGTTCATACCCAGAATGGCGATGTTGATTGGCTGAATGGTGCTGTCAATCATTTCAATTATTTGTATCCATTCAGCTTTGTTGGGTCTTTCTTCTGCACGTGACAGAGGACTGCGCACATGTACTTATGTTTTGATTTTGAAATGGGGGATGGGAACAAACCACTGGACTTTTGTGTGAGTAATGAGGATATATTCATCGAGTTTTTTGCAACAGTCCCACATTTCAGACCTCACTATATAGGTATTACAGGTATTTAATATGGGTACCTTCTTCTGTTGTGGGCACTTTCTGCTCTGATGTCCATATGCAGGAGTATCATTGTACACTTTATTGTGAGTGGCTTACCATAGTCTGTTTGATTCTCACTTTTTATTATGCCCTTAGTAGTTGGTTAAGTAGTAGTTGTATTTAGTAGCTAACGTTTGTTGGAAAAAAATTTGCATATTCATAGCTTTGGGATTTTAAGAGATAGTTGTCATTTTCAAATATGACAGTTTAAACAGGTTACTTAAATGTTGGTGTAAAGCCATAGCAGACACAATTGAATGCTTGATGCAGATTATTTTATGTATACAAAACACATCTTTAAAGGTGTGAGGCCAGAGGCCTGACTGGCACTGTCTTTATATGTACGGACTGTGTTTTTACCTTATATATACAGTCGGTTTTTACGTCATTACTCTCCACCTATCACTTCTCAAGTAAGTCAAGACTCACAGTACTCAAGCCCAATTCAAATACTGTATCATAATTTGAATGGCACAAGTAAAACATCTCACGTCCACAACATTTATGTATGCTCATCTGAGGGACAAAGTCTGCTGTTTTATTTGTCTTCCTAAAAGTAGCTCCAAATGCTGCCCTCTTTTGGCCAAATATATTACATTAAAAAACACCTCAAAGCAGTATGGTATTGTTTATTCCTTTCATCCGCTTTTTTGATACGCATATTTAGTATTACCGTGTATAAAGTCAATCAACAGTTTACTTGTAAGAAAAATAATAATTGTATTTGTGTAGAAAAATATACAGTACTTGAATATAAAACACAAGTTACACAGGCAACACCAGTCATTAGTGTTGGAATAGTACTAACAACAATTTAACATAATAAAATCACAATAATAGTCTAAAATGGAGCCACTGTAACACAAACCAATCCCCCCCCAACCTGGTCAATAAAGCATTTTTGATCTAATAGAAGATGACATTTGCAAGCCTACAGGAATGCACACAGTGTTCATTTTCAGTCAGTCATCCCACATTGCGCACTCACGGTACATTTCTGTAGGTTGAACCACATGTGAAACGTTGAATCAGTAGCTTTACATTCTGGCAACATACAAGAAGAGACTTGTCTTGAGGGGAAATAGTCTGCCAGGCTCCTGGAAGAAGTAAAGGCGTGTCTACAACATGGGTGCAGCAGTATCACCCCACATATACTCTACACCTACTTATTGTTTGCTTCTGAGTGTGTGAGAGAAAAACAGAGTGGGGATTAACTCAGTTTAACACTAACAATTAACAATAGTGTCTGTTACTGCTTCTGCTCAGCTAAAGACAGAAAGAGAGGGAAAGTGTTAAAGAAACAAAGCAGACAGAGATTTGAAGGGAAGTGGAGATACACTTACATCGGGTCACTGGATTTAAGCCTATCAGGTTATTAGGTACATTCCTCTCACACAGAACTCACAGACAAACTTTTTAAGTCTGTTAATGGAAAACAACTAAAAACTACCAGCCTTTATGTCTGGCTGCAGTTACATTTAATGATTTACCAGTGATGTTTGTGTCAACAAGAAATCCTTGATCCTAACAACATCAACATACATGTGTTGTGTGGTGTGTGTGTGTGTTCAAGGTTCAAGGTTCTTTATTGTCAAACTAACACAGCTACAGAGTAATTATGTCGTTGAAAATCTTAGGTCACAGGCTTCTCCAATAATGCAACACAATAATACAGATAAGCAGACAATATTAACCAATATTAAAATATACTATATTAAAAGTAATACAGAAAGAATTATAATTATTTTTTTATTTTTTTAAAGTGAGAGAAAAGAAAGTGGAATAGTGCAATACGAGTCTATATACAAGTTATTGGAATGATATATTAGATAATAGATAAATAATTACTAAGTAGCAGATGAATGTTATGAAATTGTTTCAGCAGTGTGTGTGTGTGTGTGTGTGTGTGTGAAATGCTAAGTGCACTCATTAGATTATGATCTTAAGAAGCAGGTTATGATTTAAGGGCACATGCTTGTCGTGACCTAAAGGCCCAGCAGAGGAACATCATTTCAACAGTACCATCTCCAAGCCTTCATTTAGAAGACCTTTTATAAATGGTATATACACTTTTAAATGGATAATATACCAATTACTAATGTTTTATAGAACGGTTATTTAAAAACATTGAGTTGCCAGATTGTGATTGAATGATGATTACTTGACCAAAATCCGTCAATTAACACATTATTCGGCATTTAGTAATGGATTAAATGGTTATAGCAACATCGTAGAGTCATTGAAAACAACAGAAAGGGAGAACATCAGCTAAATTGAATTTTTCCAACCTGACAACCGAACATTAGCAGCTTTTAACTCACGTTAGGTTAATGACTATGTATTTACCATTGCAAAACATCAATAACAATTTATGGTAGGAACTCCTTAAGTGTTTTAACGATTTATTTAGTATTTCAATTTAAGAAATAAAAAATATGATGTGTATCAGTGGAGATAAGTGTTTTTTGTATTTTTGGCCACTGTTTTTTACTGAAGCTACATTCAAATCCATGTAGACTTCTGGATTTGTGTCACTGTTTTCATCTTTTAGTTTGCACATAAGCCCATAGCTTTGACCTTAAACACATGAATGTGACCAATTACAAACAATTTTTTCATATTGAATATAGTTTTGTGTTTATATGCGTGACATGTGGGGCTTTCTGTGCAACTAATGTACCAGCTAGCTCTATGCAAGTTTGAACAGAAGAAAACATGATAAATCTTTACTTCATGAAGCATTTTCCGAAATTGGCACACACTGACCTTATGCATAAAAATGTAAGATAACATAAAATGGACACACACAAACACACACACACACACACACTTACACAACACACCAACTACTAAGCAGTTATCTCAATCGAGGTCTCTTAATTTTTGCCCAGTCTCTATAGCATTTTTGCAGCTGTACAGCCATTTGATGATCCTTGCATTGCGCTCAATAACTGACGTCCCTTGACTTATCTTTTCATGTAACTCTTCTTCCATTAATCCGTCGCTGTCACCACTGTTCCTGGAGAAACCATCGTCTGACGTAGAGGTGCTAAAACTCCGGATGTTGATTTGAATTTCAGCTGAGCGTGAAGAGAAGTTCTCTTTCCCAAATGAGTCAATAATATCACTGCCAAGCCCACAGTACTTGAAAAAATTATCAAAGTCTGCAAAGTTTTTGGAGTACCTGGAGCTGATATCAGAATGAGAACGGCTGACCCCTTTGCCAGGCCTCCTTTCAACCTCAGGAACTGTTAGGAGACCAGCAGAATTCTTTGAAACCCCACCTGTCACCTTTGACCCAGACCCACTGTTTTCTTTGCTGTGCTGCCCTGCTAGTCCATTCCTCCTCTGCTGGGATAGAGAGGTTTCTACATATGAGCTGCATTCCTTAACTGTTCCCACAGCTGTTGTGATTGTTTCCTTGTCACCCTCAGCTTCACACTCCTTATCTGTAGCCTCAGGTAACAAAACATTTTTACGCACGGAGCTCTGCAGCAACCTACGTGTTATGTGGTGTTTTCGGTCCAATGTTGACCCTCTCAGTAAATCACATTTCTGTCTGTAGAGCAGAATAGAGTCTGGTCGTTTTTTGGAGCTGGACCGACGTACCTGCCCTGGCGAGCTGGTGATTTGTACACCACATGCAGTCTCTCTGGAGTTACTCCCTGTGACACGATTCCCACCACGGTTCGAGCTCCGCTTAGAAGACCCAGTGCTACTCACAGAGGCGGATCCAATACTGATCACTGGCGCCTGAGTAGAGTTGACCACCTTTTCGCTTTTGACATATTTCAGTTTGCTTGCAGCTAGCCTCTCCACAGCACTCATGCCTCCTTTTGTCTCACTCTCCAATTCCATTTGTTTTCGAAGGTATTCAGGACCCTTCTCCAAGATTTTTGTTGTATCACTGGTTGCTTCCATTGTGGTCTAAATGTAATACAAATATGTTATTTCCAAAGAGTAGTAATCCTTTCGCATGCGGTCTCTCCGGTGTTAGAGGTAAAAGATTCCATTCAAGTCCGTTCTTTGCCTGAACACGTATTATAACAGGAGACTTCACCTTCTCTGGTCTAAGACACATCACATTACCCCACCCATCCAGCGCAAGGCAGGTTTTAACCAAACACAAGCCTGTTCAAAGTACACCTGATGGTGTCACAAGAGAGAACAGTGTAAGCTGACACTCCAGGGTTTTTTTTTTCCTGTTCCGGAGGAAATGTGGGCCTTTATCCTTATTGCTCAATACAGTTTAAATGTTACACGATCTTTAACGATAACAACTGGTTTCTGTCTAACATAGTAACCCCTTCAACAGTTATCGACTTATTTACCAGGGAAAGTGACTCATCAACAAGGCTTGCCGCTCAATATTAAGCAGTAAATGTTTGCCTTGGCCTTTTCATATCAATACCTGTATACTGTTTGTATATATTTCCAACTGATATTGTTTAATGCAGTTAGATCCCAGCCATTATTATGTCAAAACACATCTACTCTATAAAATATTCCGACATGAGTCCATCACTCTTGAAAAAAAACACTGATAATAACTTTTGTCCAAGGTTTATTAGATCCTTAAAGTTAAAATTATAAAACCAGAGGGCTAATTTGACATGTTTGCAGTCAACCAGTGTGCTCCTTTTGTCTTAGTAACATGTCCCATTTTAAGGTTATAAACTAGGAATTCACATAAGGTCAAAGTAACCGCGCAAGCATTTATAAGATACAAATCAGATTCAAACATTACCACATGCTTGTTAAAATAATGGCTGCACAATTCATAATAAATGGTGAACAAAATACCACCACTACTGCACAGAGATGGGGTCGTTACTAAATTTTTTAAATATATTACATATTACTTTAAAAAAAAGTAATATATTACACTACTTCGTTACTCTCTACATAAAGTAATTCGTTACTTTACTCGTTACTTTACTCGCCGAGCACGTACGAACTGCGCATGCGTGAGTGGCAATAACTGTCCTTGCCAATATGGTCTAGCTGCGGCCGCGGACACTACATGACACTACACGACACGCCCACCTGACACGACACTACGGTGGCTGAGAGGCACTACCGTTAAAAGCGAATTGACGACACTACACGACAGGAGGAGAGGTTTTGGGGTTTAGGTTTGGGAGGGAGGAAGGAGGATTAGGTAAAAAGGTAGGGAGTGGTTAGGGTTAGGATGGGGGGAAGGGAAGGGTTAGATTGAAGGGAGGGAAGAGAACTGCTACCCGGGAAGCGTCTATCGTTATTGGAATGATTCCCAGCGTCCAAGGGCAACATCAACGATGCGTGCCTCATAATAGGTCTCCAGCCTCGAAGTCAGGAGATCAAACAGCTGAGGAAGGTTGAAGGCCTTTGTCCTCTGCAGTATTTTGTACTTGAGGACACGCATTGCCGCTTCTGCAAAATTGTTGGTATTATTTCCTCTGGTGAGGAAACTGCCTCTATAACTGAGGGCCCAACACTCTCTTCTGGCGTACAGCCGGTCCAAGTACCTGAGGAACTTTTCATACCTGCAATTGGTTAAAACAAGAAACAATTATCCAAACAGTAAAGCTTAATCACTTCATTACATTGGGTGTTGGATGTTATTTGATAAGAATAAGTCAATTTCTCTCATATGGCTAAACAAAACATCACTAACTTGTCTGCATTAAACACTAACCTGGCTGCAACTGGATGCCCTCTTGCCTCGCTGTAAAGCCTATCCACACTGCCTATCTCCTGACAGTAAAGCATCTCTTTTACAATGGCAAAAAGTGCCGGTCTGTCTCCGTGAGTGACCCCACTCTCCTTGCTCCACAGCCACCTCCAAACTGCTTGTAGCAGATGGAAGGAGCACAGGAGAAGTGTGGCCTTAGGAAATGCTTTTCCCAGAGCTTCCCTCTCTGCCCTACAGTCATCTGTGATGACCAGTTGTGGCCCTTCGTGTCCCCTGCCAGCAAAGCCCTTCTCTCCAACAACTTGTTTTAGCTGTTCCAGCCCTTGAGCAATAGTCTGCTCATCCTCAGACTGGCAGAGGAGAATGCCCAGAGGGAGGCCACCTGCACAGCTGTGGGTCAGGAGGAGGAATACCCTGCAGTTCTCCCTGTCCATATTCCCTGAGGAATCTATGAAGCACAGCTCCCCCGTTGGTGCACTTTCTTCATCAGTGGAGAACACACAACCACAAGAGGAGCTCCCTGGGAAGTTGTTCCCAGGAGAGCACAGGTGTCATTACATTTATTGTTGTAAATCTCCACTTGAAGCTTGAGCGCTGCCAACATNTTGCCGTATGAAGTGTCCCGAGGAACTTACACGGTGTGAGGTTGTAGACGTGACCGCCAGGACTTTGTGCTGGAGGTTTACCGTCATACCGTTCCCCGGGGCCCCTATTTACACATGCACTAGCCGGTTGTCCTCTAACGGGACTGGACGGAATACATTCTCACCCATAGGTAGACCTTTTGTACAAGTTCTATGGATGATGGGGATATATTTATTGCCAATTCAACATCTCAGTGGCGGATGGCGTCCGCAACAAAAATATTGTGGTTGTGCCTGTTTATTAGAATAACCTTAAATGGTAGGTCAGGCGTGTGGGTCTTCGGTCCTATAACATCAATCAATATATATATCAATATTATGTAAAAAAAGCTAGACGTGAAATAATGAGTATGTGGATCAGTAAACTAACTTCATTTCCCCACGAGTACTCTTGAGTGTCGTGTGCATTTTTGATTTACAGCAGGTGTTCTTGCTGCTTTTGGCTGCTCTCGGGTTCACCCTATGCTGACACTTATAACTTGCCTGAACAAAATAAAGCAGATTTATTATAGTACAGGTCAAAGTAAAAAGGATCATTAAAAGGTAACTTCAAGAAATATCAACAAGACAACACTTACTTTGAAAAGCACCCGCTTCCCCAACCTGGGTCGGGTAACATCCACCCTCCATGTCACCCCTGATGACCCCTTCAGCTTTTCTACCCACTCCTTGACCTGTTCCACAGTGTGGACATCCAGCCTCAAAGTGGCCTCAAAACCAGTGTGGTCCACCAGTGAAACCACCTCTTCATACTGGCACACGTGGTATCTAAACTCACCTGGTAGCCAACTCTACAAGAAAACAGACAACTATTAATTAAAATCCACACACATAATACTGTGTCAGCTCGGAATACCAGTAAGAGTTGTGCCATGATCTGAAGAACTAAAGAGGACCATGAGGTTTAAAATGTACTGACTTTACTTAGAACTAGAGTAGAATACACATTATACTTGCAGGTTTAAAAAGTCTGAAAAATAAAAATCCAACCCTCATCCCTCATCATCACCCCTCTTCATGTGCTTGCATGTTATTCTTTGTAATGCCTTGTCTTTTATCTGGACAATAAGTCTGTTATTAAGTGGTATAGTTTAGATGATGATGATGATGATGATGATGATGAGTAGGTGAGGCATTGATATGAGCAAACACATCCAATGTAATTTGATGTTCATCATAGTATTGAGAGATAGGTCTTATCAGATACCTTCAGCTGATACGATAGACGCACCCGGGAAACAGGATGCAACGCGTCATCTGTTAAGCTCCGCCCACGTTGAGCTCCCGCCCACATCGAGCGAGGCACTGCGCACTGCAGTGAGGGGCTTCTCGTTCGCGGCCGCAGCTAGACCCTTCTCAGCCACCGTAGTGTCGTGTCAGGTGGGCGTGTCGTGTCGTGTACTGTCCGCGGCCGCAGCTAGACCCTTCTCGTACTTACCAGCAGGCGGCGGTAGTGTGTATTTGTCATTCAAAACAGGCAACAACCGGAAGACAGAGAAGAAGAACAGACTTCGTGATATAAATAAATAACAAATTGCGTGTGCGTTAGCTTCACCTTAGCATGTGTTCTTTGCAGGTGTTTGTTGAGGTTTGACGTGGTGTTTACAGCAGTGGATAACAGCTTCTGGCCTGGACACAGTTTGCACCTCACCGTCACATTCCTGTCTATTCTTCAGACGAACTCAAAATAATGGGCATACCTCCACCCCTCGAAAGTTATCGCTGACTCAGCCATGTTTATGCAGCATTGCACGTGGAGATGTGGTCGCGCAGATTACGTACATATAAACCTGCGGCGGAAACTTCTCTTGTCTGTCAGTGGATTGACTGATTTTAGTAAGTAACGAAATAACGCGTGTCGGGGCAATGTTAGTAACTGTAGTGTGAGTACTGAATTATAAAAGTAGCGCGTTACACTACTCCGTTACCGACAAAAGTAATATTATTACAGTAACCCACCCAAACTCTGCTACTGCACTACTAGACCATACAATAAATCCACAAAAGTTCATTAAAAACATAAAATCACCAGTGATTATTGCAGATCTCGTGTGTGGTATTACAGTCCAGGTCCTGACTCATTAAATCTGCCTTGAATCCATTCCAATTATCACTCCTTACTCAGTTATTGTTTTTTTTTTTAAATGTTTTTGACGTTTTCCTTTTATGTGAAAACAAAAGCCTATAATCCCAGGAAAGACATGCAGCAAAACACTACAAGGAACATTTGATCTCGGACCGTTCCGGTAAGAACATCGGGTTCCCGTTCTTCCATGTGGGCCTCATAAAAGAATAGTTTCAAAACCAGAACATTCACGGTTCTGCATCTCCACCAGTGACACAGGCTTTCCTGCCAAGAAAACGTCAAAATGCACCAATATTTATCTTCTCGAGCCCATTGACTTGCTGAGTCCATTTGATTAAATGTTTCTTGACAGTAGACTGTCATTCAAGATTTACATGCAACATTTGACTTTTAGAATTTAATGATATCCATTTCAAAAGTTTTAAAGTATATTTTCCAACCATTCTTCCAACTATTGTGCAGTGAGCCTTCATGGCCTTCCTTGACTATGGAGATATTCTTGTTGGTCATGCATCCCTATAAACAATTCAGCTGTCAAACCCTGTGTATTATAGTGCATTAAGCTATGTCACAAATTATATATTTCAGAAGCATTGTTCTCTGTATCCCGGGTTTTGATGAATGTCACTATGGTTAAGAATAACATTAATCTTGTTCATTTATAAAGCTTGACTCTTATAGTTTCACACCTTTTTTCTCATTTAATTTAAGTAACTACACAATACAGTAACCTAACCTAATTTATTTCCTCGTGTAAACATTCATGTTGGCAGACCTGGTTTGATGCACCTTTTTAAATTAAATGAGCTGCAAACTGCTCTCAAACAAGAGTTATACTGTATGGTTCCACTTTAGATTTAAAGCTTTAACATAGGATGTTTTTATAATTACTAAAACTATTTTTTATTACTTGTTTATTGCGTTGAATGTTCCCTGGTTTCAGGTCTTTCTTGGAAAAAATATTTTGAAGTCAATGACATATACAATATTGGTTAAACAATGATTAAATAAATCATGGTGGTTTTGTAATGGAAAGCAGGAGAAGCTGATGCAACATGCGTGTAATGAAAGTTGCGATTGAGGATAATAATTCAAAATAAAACATTTGGCAACAGAATAAGAGGTTGCAGCAACATAGAAAAATGTTTGTTTCATATCAGCACGGCTCAGCTCTACACAGCATTTTAACACACCCTCCATTAAGTGTTTCTGACCGAGTGAGTGACTTGGTTCTGGCAACTTTTCACAGCTTCTTCATAACATATCTGGTGGTCTCTATACTCAATGCTGCTCCTGAAACAAAACCAGAATGTACAGGAATTATAATTGGTGTAGTTGAATGCATGTTCCTTAAATGGCTAAATATTTTCTGGCTTCTTTTTTACACGACAAAGATAGATGTTTTTGAATACTTAGATGAGCGAGAGAGAAAACAGCATTTACTTACTACAAGCTGTGTACAGTGCACAAATGCAAACAGTGTGAACGTCATTAGAATAACGTTTTGTATAAGGACAGCATTCATAGATATATATATATATATATATACATATATATATATATATACACACGTCCTCATTCTTTTTCATTTTTCTAAAAGCAGACATTTCATATCCAATGCATAACTTTCTTTCTGTGTGTAAGTTTAACAGGGCCAGCTGAAATGGCCAACCGAGTACAGACAGTAAAGCGTTTTATATTGATTCCACTCAAATCATTTATGCCTAAAGGCTACTTATAGTTTTCAATGTGTGTACATCATTATTATAACACATCTGTTTTTCATGGTGTTGAACTCATATTTTATGCGTGTGATTTCTTTTGAATGGCTTCCCTAAAATCAGATCTCAACAATTCACTTGGGCATTGTGCAATGTTGTTTTGCATTTAATCATTTGTTAATCATGATCTCCATCTTGAAAGAAGTTCTCAGATTTTGAGGTCTGGACAAAATCACAAGTCATTCTTATACTTCAGCCCACACTGAATTCTTGTTTAAATCACACAGCAAGTCTAAAGCAATGCAAGTGGCGTTGTGTGCCTATAATGTTCACAGTGTTCACATTTATAATGTTTTCTGTCTGGTCATCTTGGGTAAGCTAATTACCACTGAGTATAATTCAAAGCTGAGGCTGGCAGAATTTATATTGTTTATAAAGTGTAGATCTCATAATGGCACTGAAGGAAAAGCAGGAACAGGAACCAAGTGTGTACACTTCATGTCAATCAATGCAGTAGTTGACAAGACCTTTCACAAAAAAATGACAAATTGCAACCACCCGATAGGCAGGCAATCACCAAAGTCAGATGGATTCATCCTCTAGGGACCATGAATGTCTATACCGAATGTTATGACAAACCATAAAACAGTTACTGATATGTTTTATTCAACAGCTGACAGACAACTATTGCCATCCCTAGAGTCACGTTTCAAAAATAGGCACAAAAAAACCTTCCACAAAATGTTAATTATGAGTCTGACATGGCATTGTTAAAGTGTACAATCTGTATAAAACAACGTTTGAAAGAGCAATATAAGTTCTCACACACCTCCCACCTGGTTGTCTGGTTTTATTTGCGGTTTTTCTCTGGGAAGCACTTTGTAAACTTGTTAATAAATACGTTTCATGATTATTATGGCGTTGAAACTAAGTGCACTAACAGCGTTTAATCAGCATGTTGCCATTTAATCAGCATGTTGTCTGACTGATTGTTAAACCCGTTTCTGCTTAATATGAAAAAAGAAAGAGGAAGCAGACTCTGGGAGCAATGGAGGGGAGAGGAGTAAACATGAACAAAGTCACCATT